TTCAATTATAGTAATTGCTTGAGATTCTACATCACTTTAGCCCTTTTAAAAATGATTACATTTACAAAGGCTTTGCAATGCTGCTTACAGACAGGAAATTGAGGAATTTCACCCTGGCAGTTTGGCAGGATGTAAAGGCAGGGCATTGGGTTTTGACTGAAGGCCTTTGCAAAATAACAGCCAGATCTCACCCATGCTCAGTTCTGCCTTACAACTGTGGATTGAACTACTTTAGCTCAAAATCTGTTCCTTACAGCTCCTGTGAAGTGTGTGCTAGTCAGTGCTCACAGACTTCGCTGAAGCAAGTGGATGCACTGATCAGTACTGTTTTGGAGGCCTGCCAGTAGGTATCAGGCAAAGAAGTATGAGCAAGCTACTTCAGATTCCTGGGGATAGAAGAGCTGCTGAACTGTAGAGTGCCTGGCATACTAAGATGACAATTTACAGCCTGTCTCCAAAAACATTGCTTATATGCTTTCTCTTACAGTTGTATAAATAATTTTGAATGAGTGGGGTATGTAATGAAGTCCAAGTCATGGTATGAAGCTGCCTTCTTGAGAGTATCAGGATTTTTTACCACTTTGAGACTTTAAAGGGCTGTGTCTGTCAGGAAAATGGAGTATGATTTGCTGAAGCTCAGGTGGAGGAACAGCTGGAGGAACAGATTTGGTGTGCAATTGAGAGGTGCCTTATTCTCTATTTTAACTTGGTCTAGTATGCTGGGCCAGTGCATATTGCTGGCAGTGAAATTCCTCCTAGTCTGGCCCTGAGTTCCCACTGCCTATCCTCCTGGTACTAGAAGGAAATTTATGAACTGTTCTTCATTTCTTTATAGGATGCAAAAGCTTGTGAAACCATCAGCTGATAAGAAGTATGTGGATTTGACAGTATCATTTGCTCCAGAGACTGATGGAGAGGAAGACTTGCCAGGGCCACCAGTGAGATACTACTTTGTTCAGGAAGACAATTGATGGTAGAAACACAAAAGTCACTCATGGACCATTTGTTCTGAAAGGAGTGTACTAATTTTCAGCTATTAAAGATGGTACTATATATTTCTTTTTGGTGAAGCCTTAATTAAATGGTGATAATCAGTGGCTTTGCACTGAAGACAAACTGGATTTGTTTCTTCTGCTCCTGTATTCTTCAAGCCTGTTTGCTCAAAGGAAGATTGGTCACTCCATGAGATGGAATGTCCAGTACATTCCTTACCTTAAAGGCAAGATTTGTATTGAGGAAAGCAAAAAGAATGGTGAACCTAAGAAATGGTCCCCATGTGCAAATTAGGCAATTTGCATTTGCTTAGGGAAGTGTGCAAAAAATAGGAAAAGCACCATTTTATGATACTCCTGGTGTTCTAAGAACATCTCAAATTAATTTAATATTTTCATTCTCAAGCAAGAATTTCATTCTTGCTATCTACATGTGAGATTTAATCCATCTGAAAGGCTTAAACTCTCACTTAAAAGCAGGCTGGTTAGTGGTACTGTTGTCAGTGCAGTTATCTTATGTCAGTCTCAACATGGATATGTAGGGAGGGGATGTAAATTGTCAAAACTCCCCTAAGTGCAGAGAGCTGGAATTGTTGATTATCTGCACTAAGACTGTTCTTTGCGGAATACTGTAGTATTGGAAAAGTGAAAACCTATTGGAGAGCCAAACTAGCACTTTCAACAATAAAACTTGGTCTTCAGCAAAGAGACGATGTGGTCGAGCCTTTCTGCCCTCACCAAATTAAAATCATTGTAGCACTTGATGATGTTAAAGGGAGGAAAAGACAATTACCTCTGGATGGTTGTCACAGCGAGTGTTACCTCAGCTGTTCCTTTTGGTACCATTTCCCTATAGCAAATTGTGCTGTAAACCTCTCCTCAGAACAAGTCTGAGCTGCACTGAACAGTGAGGATTTTACCCTCTGGTCAGTTATTGGGATTATAAAATTAATTATAAAATTTCTGCTTAATTGGAAATCATTATGGACTAGTTTTGTGGTGAGGCAGAGGTGTGTCACAGAAACATCATCATTTAATTTGTTTAAACACTGGATACTTGAGGTAATAGTTATCTTTTTTCTCCCCATCATTGTAGAGCAAGGCAAGGTTAGGATTAAAACTTACAAACAAATACCTTCTCATGTGTTTCAGCTTTAGAGATTGTTATTGAGTATTATGTCCTGCAGAAAAAATGTCCTGTTGCAAAAGCTCTTAACAACTTAGCTGTTTATCCTCAATCATAATTTATTAAGCTTTAGGGATGTCTTCACATTTAATTAAATGATGTCACTAATTAGTGCTAAGGATCACTTAAAGGTTTAGGTCAAGTGGAAAATACTATCACCTCTCAAGAGTTGGAGGCTGGGAAACGAAACTTTCAGTAAGTATACTCTGTTATATTAGTGTCATGTTAACATCATGCTTATGCTTTTGAAATAAGGAGCATTTAAAAATAGTAAAGTTTCAGCGCAATTCTAGAATGCCAAATGACTGTCCTCAGGTTTTAAAGTAAACTGTCAGATATAATTCATTCAATGGCTTTTACTAATGCCAACATGTACACCTTTGAGAGCCATGTAAAAAGTCCAGGTCAAGGCTGGCAGGGATCACAGCCAGAATTTACAGATATGGCTGTATCTTTATGCTGCTCTTATTGTGTGTGTCTGTTGGACAGATGGATGCTCTGTGGATGGGTTCTGCTCAGTTGAAAAGTCTGTTATGGAAAAGCTAAAAGTGCACAACGGCTGTAGGTATTTATTAACACCTTTAAAAATTCTGGATATAAACTTATCTAGGCAAAATCTCACAACTAACAACCTCAAGAGGACTTTCTGTAGAAGAACTCAGCATGTCAGTCAAGTGGCTCATTAAAACTGTTAGGCTTTAAACCTTTTTGAATTGCTGATAGAGAGTGAAGGGGTTCTATGGAAGATTGTGGAGTGCACTGATTCAGTGTGAATTTGTGTTGGATCTAGCCTGTTTCTCAATCTGTTCCTGCTATTTATCAAAAGTCTTTGCAGGTGCTCAGTATGATCACACTAAAAAGGCTCTGTCAAACTGGGCAAGTGACTTTTTGGATGCTGATCTTCCAAATCTCCAATGTTGTCACAGTGCTACCAAGCTAGAGGCTTGTATGTTACTTGGAATCTGAGAACTGCTTTTTTTCTTTTTCTTTTTTTTTTTTCCTTCATTGCAGTGAAAGCTTGTGTTTGTTTAGGACTGTTTGATGCACAATTCCTGTAGAGCAGCTAAAGCTTGATGTCAACCTGCAACAATGAGTAACTGTCTTTCCACTAGAGCACTTCGAATAGCTTTCTTTAAAAATGTTTTTCTTTGAGAGAGCAGTTGATTTGCAGAAATGAAGTTTTATATCAGTAATGAAGATCTTATTTAAATGCTTTCTTGAAGAGTTTGCTCATATTTACATCAGCTTTCTCTGAATTTCTATCACTCTTAATAGATGCAGTTAGTTAATATATGCATGAAAAGCATTAAGTAGCCAGATCAACTTTTCTCTGGTTAGTCAACATGTTTCTTTAATGTTAGGAGTAGTGAGGATTCTGTGTAAGAGTCTCAATACTGTTAACAAGGCTGCTTTTATGGATCAGATGGATTTAAGTTTTTATTATCTATACCACAGGTAAAAGTAGATGCTTCCATATTATTTTCCCACCCTTTTCCCATGTATGGTGAAATATGTGACTGCTCATTAAAAACATAAAGTTACTCAAAAATAGTAGTATATAGGAAGAACAACTCTGGCACAAGTTGGGCTGTCACCTCTTCATGGCCTCTCACATCCTGAAATAATATGGGTTTGAGCTAGGCAGAGAGTTCATACATCTGTCAGACTTGTCATCAAATACAAGTGAAGATTTTAGGTAAATTCATGATATGTTTGTAATTTTTCCTTGTCTTTGAAACAATGCTGATATAGGCCAATTGTCTTAAGAAAGGAACTGAATTTCAGCCAAAAGCTGAAATCAACTTGAAAGTTTACCAAAGTTTACCAATCCCTGTGAAATTCCAGAAAGCAAATGTGCAGCACAGTGGAGCAATCTAAACCTTTGTCCAACGGTTGATAAATTTGACCAGAGACCTTTTGATTATTTATTTTACTAAAGGTATATTGTGTGTGGTTGATGAAATAGCTGGTGCTTATCCATGGTCCACAAAGTTTATTGACGCTCAAGCTTAAAGGTGCTGTAAGTTCCATTAGCATAAGCATTCCATAAGCATTGCTAACAGCAGAACTGTGTTGCTGAAGTGTATCCTTTTGTGTGGCACAGGTGAGAGGCAGGGACGAAGTGTAGAGTTACCACTTCTCCCAGCAGCATACAAGTTTCAATTCCATAAGGGAAAAGCTGCAACTCTGATCTTATGCACACTGAGCAGCATCCTCTTCACAGAGTGATCTCAACTATTTTCATGGAAAGAAAAGTGCTAACTTCTCACGTTATGATGTACTTTTAAAATATAATGGGCCCTCCCTGTAGTGGTCAGGAAGAATAGGAATAAGGAGATCTGGTGCTCCGGCACAAATGTGTGATGAAAAGCATCACTTAAAACTATTTTTGCGCAGTGTTTTGCTGGCACTGTAAGGTACTGCGGCCTTACGTTCTCAAGCAGTTGTTTTTTGCTCATTGTTGACTTCTTCAGTAGAGTTTTAAAGGAAAAATTGCAACGCCCCATGTTGAGGATGTTTTGTAGCGTTTGGAAACCCGAGGATTTGAACTTGCGTTTTTCCCCCGAGGAAAATAAAAAACCCAGAAGCTTCTCCCGCCCGTGCCTTCAGAGAAAGGCGGGAAAGGAGGGGGGGGTGGGGATGGCGGGCGGAGGTAGCCGCTGCTTCTGCGCAGGCGCAGCAGCCGCGCGCGCTTAAATCAGCTGCCCTGGTTGGCGCGCGGGGCCGGCGAAGAGACGGGGCCGGGGAGGCGTGGCCAGGACGCTGCTGCTCGGCGGGAAAGGCGGACTCGGTTCCACGGCGGCGGGGCGTGCGGCTGCTGGCTCCGATCGGGGATGGCGGAGGCCTTGGTAAGAGAGCGGCCGGTCTGTGTTCCTGTGCCTGTGTCTGTGTCTGTCTGTTTGGTGTGTTGTGGGCTGCGGCCGGGCCCGTCCGTAGCGCACACGCGCGGCCCTCGGCGCGCTCCGGAGGGGAGGGATATGGCCGGTTTTTCACTTCCCTCGGCGGAAAGCGAGGCTGGAGTTGGGGTTCTGCACTCACTCCGGGTCCAGGCTGTTGGCAGATATTTGTGCTCTGAGGGGTGGTCTGTCGGGAGCCCCGTTCGCTGCAGCGCACAAGTGTCTGTGCCAGACCCCGTTCCCCTCAGGCTGTCTTTGGAGAGCCGACTTCCATAGGCAAGTGAGCACATCAAGAGCAGAACCCTAGAATCGTGGTTAAGTTTCGGAATTCTTCATGTGTAACACGACACGATCACAATAATAAATTAACTGTTACAGGCTCTTTTAGGTCCGTGACGGGAATTTTTAATTTCTTTAGTGCGCAAGGTCACTTGCCGAGTGCATTATGCTGCACTCTGCTGCGAGGGGTAGGCGGTTTAAGGTCGAGTGCGGGACTGACTGCAGAGTACGGGTCTGTATAATTTCTGAAGTAGTGGCTTTTGGTCAGCTGTTTTGCCATGTCACCTGTGACTTGCTTCTGCCACTTTAAACCGATGTTGAAAATTTGGAGTGAAATCAATGCATATGGAGTTTGGTTATTTTTGATACCAGAAGTAATGTCCAAAGGCGAATCACAAAGTGTGAAGTACTGCCAGTATGGCAACCTTCAGAAAAATGTGCTGAATTCTCTTGTGTTAGGACTAGATAATTTCCACATACTCTTTAAATTTACACGAATCAGAAAGAGATTGTAGTTATTTTTCAGCTAAACATTTACAATTTTTGAGATGTTTGCCTATCACATATGTGAAGAACTGCACTCTGCTTTGCTGTTGAATTTTTCTTGCCCTTTCTTTCCATTTTATCCTCTGCAACCACTGCTGGTTCCCTGGTCAGTGGCTTTATTTGATTACACAGAGATCGTGCTGTTGCTTGAATTATTACTGCTCTAGTTATGGTCAATGACTGGAGTCCTATCTGCTGTTCGAATGACTTTGGTTATATTTGGGTTTCATGTGTATGAAGATGCACTGTGGCATTCTAAGAAAAAAACAATGCTGCAATAACTCCCACTCTCCCACTACTTCAAGATGTCTTGAGAATCCCTGAGACCTGCTTACTTGTTTTTCTGTCATCATGCTTAGTAAAAATTGATTCTTATTTCTTCACAGGATCATTTAAAAAAAGACTACAGAGCAAGATTCTGCCATGGAGGAGGGTAACTTGCATTTAAACACCTATTCTTAGATTCTGGAAAACTTATGTTGATTTTTATCTGAGAGATAAATGTCAAAACTATGTAATGTACCTTATTAAACATGATCTTTCCCAAATTTCTTGTATTTCTTAGTTGTAAGAGGAGCAAGGTTCACCTTGTTCTGCCAGGGGAACAAAACTCACAGGGTTTCCTTTGTATTCCTTTCCTGGTGCAGCAGATTGTGGTGTTCCTGTACCTAAGGTACCCCTAATTGGGCTGCCTGAGTAGGGAAGTAATTAATCTGTGGAAACACGTTGCCTTTCAAGGAGTAGAGAAAGGAAGCCCTCGCAGAGTTCCAGCATATTTGGACCTTGCTGGTAAATGATAGAGATGAGTTTGAGCATTTGCAGTACTGTGACATTCTTTGCATGCGTATTAGGAGTCTGTGAAGGTTTTGTTACTGAAATCCATTTTTGGACATGAGTTTCATGAGCTTGTTACCAAATTACCAAATTAGCAGTTTTTAAAGGTATATAAATGATCATTATGGGAGTAATACTTCATGGCCTTTCTAGTGTTGTTTTTGTTTTGATCAGCTGTCTGGCTGGTAAATCACTCACTTCTTCCCTTTTCATTTGTGCTGGTTTGAAAAAATAGTCCAACGAGCTGAGCTGTTCACTTGCTTATGGATTGGACACCTCCAGCCGGTCCTTGATGCTGAAACTTTTGTATAAGCACAGAAATAACTTGTTTTACAGGGTGACTCTCTGTATGAAGGGGATAGATGTGCAGCAGCACAGTTTGATTTCTAGATCTGTTGTGACTGCATCACTATGCAAGCAACATAACTCGAGGTCTGATTTATAAAAAAATTATTTACTTCAAGCGAGACTCTAGTCAGCCTAAAGCTCATTTACCTCAGTGCTGTTGCAGTAGTTGCATGTTTTGTTTTATGTGGAGAGAATTCTTCATTCTTATTATATAATCTGTGTCAGTGAGGCTTTTTTCCCCTGGAATTCTTACTTAGATTTCTTTGTGGATATCTATGCATGGAAATGGTAGGTAAAAATATATTAAAGTTGGAACTAGGGGAAATAATAACCTAAATATTAAGAAGTAAAAAACTTAGCTATTTTAATACTTGGAATAAGAGCATTTTGCATTTTTGATTGAAAATTTTTTTTCCTTCTTGTTTCTAGAGATAAGATTGATCTACAGCAAGGTCAAAACTTAATGAAACTCATACAGGATTGTTTTGAAAGTAAGCTTTTATTTTATGTTTTGCTTGATTTGCTGATAAAAGAAAAAAGTATTTTCTTCTTGTGTTATATTTAGTGGTAAGTAGATAGAAATAAAAAATAGGGATAAAATAGATAAAAATAGTATTTCTCAGGGTTTTTAAAAACAGCCCCTCCCCAGCTTTTTAAAACTGTGTCTTAGCTGTCTTTTAATCTTTTGCAAGCAGCTGATTCCTTTCTTGTTTGGATTTACTTGACCTTAATAAACCTTAGAACTTGTTAAAATAAATTAAACCTGGACAATTCCAAGATTCCCATATTCACAGGTTGTTTTCTTTATAGGTTGCAACAGTGATCTTAAAACAAACTCTCCAAGTTGCTCAACCTTAATTTTGAAAAATGAGGAGGGGACTTCAGTGCAGAGCCAAAGAGTAAGTTACGTCAGTGTCATAGTATAGCACTGGGTACAGGTACATGTGGGTGCAAGTTCAATTCTGTAGCATTTAGTTCTGTATGAGCACTTGTAAAAGTATTTAGGCTATAACTTAATCATTTATAATAGTTGTTGAAAATGTGGGGTTTTTTCTTAGTTTGTCATGCTCTAATAGTAAATATTCTAGAAGTAGAATTATTTAATAGCTTTTTTTCTTGGGTTTTTACAACCCAAGCTAACTAATGAAAACTTCTTCAGCTTTTTGTCCAGGATAGTTAAATTTCTCATGGTCTCAGGCTGAAGCAAGCTGCCTTATTACTAGTGGTGGGTATGGCTGTCTTGGACTACATTGGAGTTGATTGTGGTCACTTTGCCAGATATGTGGACACGGTTCTTAGCTATCAGATGAACAGTAAAATTTGAAGGTGATTTATGTAGAAAAGCAGCTGGGTAACTTCTGATAGTTAATCCGTATAATAACTTCAAATATCTTTGACTTTGTTGAAGATTAGAAACAATTTGAAGGCCTTGCTAGTGTGCTGCCTGGGAGTATATTTAATTGTAATATTTTGATTTTACTTTTTTCTTTTAAGCAGGATATTCTTTTAATGGTGGGGTTTAGAACAGGTGACTTTATAATGGTGTTTGTTTACTTTAGTCTGATGTTACAATAGAATATAATCTCAAAGCAATTCTTGCTAAACCTCAGCCTGTCTTAATAAAGATTAAAAATTAAATAGTTCAAGCTAATTCATTCTAATGACAATAATGAATAGTTTACCTCAAGATTAGCCGGATGTATGTTTAATGCTGCATATAGATTTTTACTGTGCACACTGTTTTATCTGTTGTTTAAAATTTACAGTTACTTTTAGAAAGTTTTACACAATAGAAAGTTGAAGTGTTTAGGTAAAATAGAACTGTGATTCGAACGAGTATGAATTAAGGGAAGGAGATTATGTCATGTTCTGTAGAAATGTATATTCCTCTTAAAGTACTGTTGATTTATAAAGTATTTTACTTCATTTCGTTATGTGTTACCAACTGTGACAGCCCAAGCCAGAGTCAGCCAGCTCTGTGAAAAGAGCCCGTAAATCTGCAGATCCTTCCCCTACATCACTGCTAAAACCTGTCAGCAGCAGAGGTTGGTCATTCTATTACTGAATAAAGGTTTTAAGAGTAACTATTTATTGGGATTTTTGTAAGGTTTTAAGTAAAATAATTAAACCTTTTCTGTATATGTGGCAGGACACTCTTGTGAATCACACCTGAAGCCTGCAACACACGATCATGTAGCTGCTTCTAAAAAACCAGAGTCTTCTGTGTCTAAAAGTGAAAAAAAGAGTACAATAAAAGATGAAGCACTGTGCCAGCATCCGGCTGTGCTTTTGGGCTCTGAGTATAGTCGTGAGTCTGCTCGATCACCTTTTCCTGTGGAGGAAGTGAAAAATTCTCCTGTAGTTAAGTAAGTAGAGCTGAACATGGTTGTCGTGTCATATTCCATGTGTGCCCCCCACTTCAGGGTAAATCAAGTTTGGATTGTGAACTCATATAAAATAATTCTAGGCTTTTTAGAAAATTCCCATATCTGGGTTTAGAAAGGGTAGAATTACTTTTTAGTTGTTATTCTGGTGATAAGTGCAGTACCCAAATGAAAGAACCCTGTCAGAATAGATTTTAACTCTTTTTTTCTGGGGAAGTGCACCGAAGTATCAGCTTCTCAGATTGTCTAGACTTCTTCAGTGAATCCTGTTGAGAGTGTTGACTTTAAAAGTTAACAAGAATTTTTTAAAGCAGAGTCTTCATGCTCTGAATGTACATATATTTTATACAAAGTAAAACAGCTTCAGTGGTGATTATTATCTCCTCATTGGAAGATTTGAAGCTGAGCTGCAACACTGACCAGTGTCTTGGCCATGGTTCTGCTTGCCTAAAGCGTGGAATCTCTGAGGTAGATCATAAAGATGGACTGACACTGATCCCATTGATAGGAAAGGCAGTGCACCTACAGTCTAGGAAAACTGACCATTTCTGAAGCACGTTCTCTTAGGATTAGGAATTTGTCTTGTTGAGCAGTCTTTACTTTGATCAAGAGTCACATGCTGACTTCTGTGGACACTTGCTGGGAAGTGCTACTGCTGATCTGTGTTCCAGCAAGTTTCCAAAAGAAAGCTTATTCATAAGAAGTGAGATGCTGTCAAGAAGAGCATGTTTATTCTCAGAATACCTTACTGTGCACTCAGGATTTATAGCAACATGTTTGAATGCTATTTCTCATTCATAGATTGCATTTTGATAACTGGAGTATGCCAGCTACAGCAGAGAGCCATGCAGAAGTTGAAAATTTGGAAGGACCTCAGCCTGGGAGAGAGGAGCAAGTTGTTCCTGTGCAAGGAGCAGAATGTTTTGTTACATCATCTGCCCAGTCTGAGAAGCCTTTCTCTTCAGCTGTCTTAGCAACTGTAGCAACAAGAACACTTGGACAGAGGTTTGTTTGGAGGCTTAATATGGAACGTCTTATGGATGAACTTTGTAATAATTCTTCCAAGGAATGTTCTGTACTGTGTCGAGGTCTTGGGAGTTACCACTAGATTTGGAAAACCTGAAAGTCAATATCCCCCCCCACCCCTGACTTCTAATGATAGGAATGTTGTTTTCCCTCCATTCTTTAGATATTCAACCTCGATATCACCTCCATCACCTTGTCCTGTGAAACATCAAGATATAGAAATAGAAGATGAATGTGAATTTTTAATTGATGAATCAAATGGTGCATCTTCTTGGATTTCAATATCCACTAAGAACAAAAAATCAAAAAGCGATGGCTCTGCAATTCCCATTTCTAAATCTCAGCCCTCTGAAAAGGAGAAGACGCAGAATAAGAAAGTCAAGAACAGAAAAGTACAGGTTAAAGCACATACTAAACAGAAACTGGATCATCTGGATGTTGGAACCTTTGACTTCAAAGAAATGTCAGAGTCTGATCCAATCCCTGAAAGTGAAGAAAGTGTCCTTACATCTCAAAGCCAAAAGAGTACTCGTATGGGTAAGTTATTTAACAGCTCTTCAGACCTTTACTCCCAGGTCACATTACTGGATTATTTTCTGGTGGTTTATAGGGAAATTTTAATAAAGTAGGTGATAGACATCAATGGATTCGTTTTTGGTATTTCACTTGCACAGTTAGTTTTTGGTGAGACAGTGTATTCACTTTTTTCACCATACCCTTTGCCTTTCCTGTTAGGACATTAAAAATTTAAAAAGGCCAGTGTTGCCTTTGTTTATGAAGGTAGGTTTTTATGACTCATAGAAGGTAGGTACCCAACAAGCTTTTTTTCTGTGCTTTGAACAGAAAGGCGATTGAGTTTTAGGAATTATTTGTGAAGAGTTTTGTAGCCTAAAACCCTGAAAACTGGAAAGCAGACTGAATGTTACATTTCTACCCCCTTTTTTTAATGAAGAAATACTTTTTTTATTAAGAAATAAGTACACCAAAATATTTTTGGTAGGCTATAGTGAAAAGCCTTCTTTTAGCCAGCAGTGATAAAACTGGTTTTGTGATACCTTTATTTTTTTCCCCCCATTTTTATACTTTGGTTTGCTTTTGTGCACCCAGACGTAAACTTATATCTTCAGGTTTAATGAGAAAAGGTATTAATCTCCAAGTATTTTGTGTATTGACAGGAAAGACTAAAAAGGATGCACTTAGACAAGACTCTCCAAACCAGAAAAAGTCTGGATTGGAAACAAAACCATCTTATGAAGAGCAGTGTAAAACATGGATGCTGCCAAGTGAGGATTTGCCTATGCCCTCATGTGGGCATCAGGAAGAGCAGACTGTGTCACTAAAAAAGTCTCTCAGGTCTTCCAAGAATCAGCAGTTGGCTTCTAAAGCTTCTCAGGATTTAGATGAGAAGGAACAAACTACCAAGGAGAAACTTCCAAGAGTCGAAGTAGCTAAGAGA